GGAACACTATAGCATCAAGTCAATGAAACTCCTGGGATATTGATCTGGTCAGTTAAGTAACAGATGGGTTGTTAATCAGTTGCAGCTGCTTTGGTGTTAATGAAATTAACAACAGGTGCACTAATGGGCAACAATGAGATGACCCCCAAAACAGGAATGGTTTTACAGGTGGAGTCCACTGGCATTTCTTTCCCTACTCATCTTTTCTGACTGTTTTTTCACTAGTTTTGCATTTGGCTAAGGTCAGTGTCACTACTAGTATCATGAGGCGATACCTGGATGTTACAGCGGTTGCACAGGCAGTCCAACCCCTCCAGGATGGCACATCAATACGTGCCATTGCCAGAAGGTTTGCTGTGTCTCCCAGCACAGTCTCAAGAGCATGGAGGAGATTCCAGGAGACAGGCAGTTACTCTAGGAGAGCTGGACAGGGTCATAGAAGGTCCTTAACCCATCAGCAGGACCAGTAGGAGCACTGCCAGAGCCCTACAAAATCACCTCCAGCAGGCCACTGGTGTGAATGTCTCTGATCAAACAATCAGAAACAGACCTGAAGGCCTGACATTCTCTAGTGGGCCCCGTGCTCACTGCCCGGCACCATAGAGCTCAGTTGACATTTCCCATTGAACATCAGAATTGGCAGGTCCACCACTGACGGCCTGTGCTTTTACAGATGATAGCAGGTTCACCCTGAGCACATGTGACAGACATGAAAGTGTCTAGAGAAGCCGTGGAGAACATTATGCTGCCTGAAACATCATTCAGCATGACCGTTTTGGTGGTGAGCAAGTGATGGTCTGGTTAGGCACATCCATGGAGGGACACACAGATCTCTACAGGCTAGACAATGGCACCCTGACTGCCATTAGATATCGGGATGAAATCCTTGGACCCATTGTCAGACCCTGGTGTACGGGTTTTCTCCTGATGCACAACAATGCCCGGCCTCATGTCGCGAGAGCATGCAGGCAGTTCCTGGAGGATGAAGGAATTGAATAGCCCCAATGCTCGCCTGACCTAAATCCAGTCGAACACCTCTGGGATATCTTGTTTTGGTTCATCTGACACCACCAGGTTATGCCTCAGGCTGTCCAGGAGGTCAGTGATACCCTGGTCCAGATCTGAGAGGAAATACCCTAGCACACTATCTGTCGTCTCATTAGGAGCATGCCCCAACATTGTCAAGCATGCATACAAGCACGTGGGGGCCATACAAACTACTGAGTACCATTTTGAGTTACTGCAATGAAATGCAAAATGGAATATCCTGCTGCATCATTTTTTCACTTTGATTTTTGGGGTGTCTGTGAAATCAGTCCTTTGTAGAATGATCATTTTTATTTCCATCAAACAATGGAGCACCCGTACGTTCCTAATACAGTACCCAGTCTGTATCAGTATAGATATCGAGCACGCGATTTTTCCCCATTGAGATCTGATGTGTTTTCAAAGTGTTCCTTTAATTTTTTTGAGCAGTGTACTAGGTCAGTGACAATGTTTATATGGGTGGTATGTGTCAAATTAACATCCACATGAATTACAAGACCCAAGGATTTCCAGTAGAAATTGGCTAAAGCATCACACTGCCTTTGCCAGCTTGCCTTCTTCTCATACTGCATACTGGTGCCATATTTTCCCCAGTTTAAGTGACGTACATACATTCGACAATCTACATGATGTAAAAGAAAACATGATTCATCAGACCAGGCCACCTTCTTTCACTGCTCCTTAGTCCAGTTCTGATGTTTGTTTGCTCATTGTTGGAGCTTTTGGCTGTGGACACGGGTCAGCATGGACACCCTGACAGGTCTGTGGCTATACAGTCAAATACATAACAAACTAGAATACCCATTTTTTCTAGCTTCAACACATCAACTTCATGGACAACTGGTTTACTTGCTGCCTAATATATTCCACTGACTTTCAGATGCCATTGTAGGATAATCAATGTTTCTCAACCTGTCAGTGGTCATAAAGTTATAGTAGATTGGTGTTTGTTGAGTACTTATTGCTGTGTTTACCTTAAAGTAATTTTTGTTGAGACACATTTTTGCGTTTCCATGTGATTGCTCTTGTATTAAATGTAGAGATTCACAGGTTAGCCAGTAGACCAGACTCTAGAGGCAGAGTAGATTGGCTACTAGAATGACTGTTTCACTGCCTAACAACTGCTGAGATAAGATATCAGACACATGGGTAATGCTTAGTTTTCAGTGAACCAACTCATAGGCTTGAATTGTAATGGAATGTTATGCAGCACAGCAAAATAGAAAGCAGAACCTGTGTAAATATGTGCAAAATAGCTGCCACTATATTTATGTGAGGAAAAGTGTCTGGGTTCAGGCCGAAATATTGTACAGCCACTGCATAATATGCATGTGGCTTTATTAGACCACAATGTAAGAAGGAGGGGAGGCAGCTTTTAAAAAAAGTATTTATTATTATTATTATTATTATTATTATACAGGATTTATATAGCGCCAACAGTTTGCTCAGCGCTTTACAATATAAAGGGAGACAATACACCAACAATACAGTTCAATACAAGAGGGATAGGAGGACCCTGCTCCTTGGAGCTTACAATCTAGGAGGTAAAATGTATAGTGTATTATTTCAATGACAATAGCCAAAACTACTGGACTGTTGGAGAGTATGTATGCAGCTTTATTAAGCCATAATGAAAATGGAAAGACAAAGCAGGTTCTATCATAAAAAAAAAGAACAGAAGTGCTTGTAATTGGAAAGCAGAGGATAACACCAAAGTGTCAGTTAACATATCCAGCTGGTTTTAACTTTTGGAATACTTTTTCAGGCCATGCGAGTAATCTGGGCATGATCCTAGACACTGACCTATCAATTAAACAAGATGTTTCAACTACCATCAGGTTCATCTTTCACCATCTCAGGAATAGTATTGGAATAAAACATATGATTCCAGATCCGGATTGGATTAATGAATATTATTTTGCTATGGTCATCCTGAGAAAGAACTACATCGTTTGCAGATGGCGTAGTATGTATCAGCTAGCATACTCAACAATTAACCCCTTCAATACCACATCACCACACTTCTTCAGTCCTTACACTAACGTCCAATTAAATGATGCCTTTCCTTCAAAATTGGCCTACTCACTTATTAAGCCCTAAATAATGTGGGCCCACCTATCTAACTTCTGTTTACCCATACTCCCACATACTTCCTGTACTCCTCAGAAAAAAGAAAATGATACATGCCTAGAGTCATCCTAAAGTGGTATTAAACCCAAAAGCAAACATTTATTCTTTTGCAGCTTACCAATTCTTAGATGTGGTGATTGCATTAGTTTTCATTTTTAGGCGTTCTTTCCTTTATTTTCACCTGGTGATCCAGCTACTATGTCTGCTGCTTTTCAACAGAACACATTCTGCAGATTTAGCAGTTACAGGGCTGAGACAAACCATTTACCACTGGCAGGGGTGCTTATAGTGATCAGCTTTTATTTATTTATGCAAAATCTTTACTATTAAAGGAAAAAAACTCTTTGGTGTAACTGCTGATAAAGTGTTAGCTGGGGTTCAGATTAAATTTGTATTTGTTACTGTATCCAAATTTGCCAGTACATCTGACACTCCCCTCCCACCAGACTGACACTGTTGGAGTGGACTGCTGTCCAGAGGCACCCATCAGCCAGACTGGGGCACTTTAATACAGGAAGTGTATTAATAGCCAGATCACAAGGTGAAAACAGAGAGGAAGAGGCCTAAAAAGAAAGCTAATGCATTCACATTTAATGATTAGTAAGCTGAAATATATTATATTTTTTATATTGCGTTTAATACCACTTTAAAATCTTTCAAATCTTAAGCATTCTTGATTAAGATGAGTCCTCTGTTCTTTGACTCATCTGTTTTCCAAGAAACGTTAGCTGCTCTAACACATTGGGTTGAGTGTACAAACATGCAATGTCACAGGAAAACGCTGAAGGTAATACTTAGTGCTCAGAAGTAAAAGCAAACCTAATATATTGTCACCACTCTGTGGTTGATGGGAACTGTAGTTTCCTTTTACTGCAGAGAGAGAGGGAGGAGAGGATATGATGTAATCCCTGCTGTTACACCTCCTCCTTGGTGGAGCAGATGCTGTTTTCATTTGAAATACAGAGATGAGCTCATGAAAATTCAATTAGACTTTTCTCCTAAATGGTAAGGATTTTAAAAATTTGATTAACAGTTTAGTGTTTTGTGTAGGGGGTGTACTAACAGGGGAATGGGTGATTTGTTTGCCTATCCCAGAGTTCTTCTTTAAAGTTTAATGACTGCTTATTTTCTTTTTTTTATCCTAAAAGATCTCAAAACCAAATCCCCAGACTATTTCCGAACAAGCACTTTGTACAATCCTAAACAACCATGTGAGATGTCTACTAGGCCGTCATACAGGGTCACATAAACCAGCATGCTGAAAAAACATAAACCAGCATGCTGCACATATTCAGCATTTAGAGCTACAGCTGGATAGAGCACCCAGACTCCTTAATGGGTCCAATACAAACCTTAACAGGGAATAAATGCACATTGACTTTAAATTCTGTCTCACTGATGAAGCAGAATGCTACCTAAGATGGGCATACCAAAATTTGTATGCCAACAGCAAGAAATTCAGTACCATGCTGGGGAACAAGCTTTGCTCCTTCATTCTCAAACAACCTGCTTTTGCCCTTAAAACAAGATTCAGTATTTACTCTCTAGCACCCACATAGGTTAACATGACAGTGTACACTTTGTTCCTCCTTCCCATACACTGTAGGATTTTACTCTCACTCGTACTCCCAGTAAATCAGACTAAATTATATACTTAACTAGTAGCCGACCGCAGATAGCCGAATGACGGCTGCACTGCGGCCGGCCAGTTCTGGGTGGACGGCCTACGGACACAGCTGATCACGTGATGTGGTAAAAGGCCAATCACAGCGGCCTTTTACCACATGATCAGCGGTGTCCAATGACACGCTGATCAGAGGGAAATGCAAGTGCCGGTTCTCGGCTGCACTTTCCTCATGCTGTCAGATCGTGAGGAAAGTACTGCCGAGAACCGGCAGTTGTCAGAGCGGGGATCGGCACCGATCATCAGGGCACTGATGATCAGTGCCCTGATGATCGGTGCCCAGCAGTGCCGCCCGCAAGTTCCGCCCACCTGTGCCTAGCAGTGCGCCCACTAGCTCCGCCCACCTGTGCCCAGCAGTGCACCCACCTGTGCCCAGCAGTGCACCCACCTGTGCCACTCTGCAGTGCCAACTACCTGTGCCCAGAAGTGCCACCTACCTGTGCCCAGCAGTGCCACCCACCTGTGCCCACCCACCTGTGCCCACCAGTGCCACCCACCTGTGCCCACCCACCAGTGCTGCCCACCAGTGCCACCCACCAGTGCAGCCCAGCAGTGCTGCCAGTCAGTGCCACCAGTCAGTGCGCAGGGGTTGTGCCAGTCAGTGGCGCCAGTCAGTGCCCAGCAGTGATGCCAGTCATTGCCGTCTATCAGTACCCATCATCAGTGTCACCTATCAGTGCCGCCTATCAGTGCTGCATATTAGTGCAGCCTATCCGTGACACCTCATTAGTGCTGTCTATCAGTGCCGCCTATTCGTGCCACCTCATTAGTACCGCCTATCAGTGCCCTATAGTGCTGCCTATCAGTGCCCATCAGTGCCGCCTATCAGTGCCCATCAGTGCTGCCTCATCAACGCACATCAGTGAAGGAGAAAAAATACCTGTTTGAAAAATGTTATAATAGAAACAAAGAAACTTTTTTTTTTTTCAAATGTTTTACATTTTTTTTATTTTTAGCGCAAAAAGTAAAGTGCCCAGTGGCGATTAAATACCACCAAAAGAAAGCTCTATTTGTGAGAAAAAAATTATCAAAATTTCATATGGGTACAATGTTGCATGACCGCGCAATTGTCAATCAAAGTGCGGCAGCGCTGAAAGCTGAAAATTGGCCTGGTAAATAAGGGGGTATAAGTGCCTGGTAGGCAAGTGGTTAACCATCAATTTAGTTTACTGAATGAATGGCATTTTTAAACTGCTTTTCTTAGCACAGTTAGTTCCAGCAGTCCCATGGCAATACAAAGGTCAATTAAGTACATATGGCAGAGTCTTTAGGCAGTTCCCCTCCAAAGGTAATGTGGCTTGTAATAGTCCCAAATAGGATGCAGCCAAGCAGTAACCCCAGCTAGGTGCAGCACTACACCTCTCTGTGTATGGTCCCATGACCAATCTCTTTCTCTCCTCTGGACCAACCCCACCCTCTTAAATATCACAGCTATGGGGCACGCTACATGCCAAACAGCAGACAATGCACAGCAAGTGAACACCTACGTAAATTACCAAACAGTACATTTTAAATACACGGGGCAAATAATATAGTTGGCACCTGCGGCACCTGCCTGCACACATATTATTTCAGATAGATAATAACCACAAATATACTTTTTGCTGGGGCATTATGATAAGGTGTAACTAGAAGACACAGAGTATGATTTATCCTGCAGACATTTTGCAACTGAGGCCCAGTTACAGAAAAATTATGTGTGGCACCTTTACAGTGCCAAAGAGGTCACAGGAGCTGGTATTGGTGGCAAGACATCAGACGTTCCAGAAACTGGTAATGGTGGCAGTGGTAGGCCAAGAGAGATGAAATGAACTGGTAATGGTGCCAGCAGTAGGCCAGGAGAGATGGCATGAGCTGATATGGGTGGCAGTCCTCCAGAGGTGAGATTGTGTTCTACAGGACTGGAGTGGGGGTAGAACCTTGAGCTTGGGCACCAAAACTAGCCAACCACAAAGCCCCTCTTACAAGCTGTAGCAACGACGGGTGTAAATGTTTATGTATATAATGAAGAAGGATGATGTTCCCTGCACATGTCACTGGATAAGGTCACATTCACTAAGGCCTTTAGCCACAGTGCGAATCCCAGCCGCAAGAATCTACTGATTCCTGCTGCTGGGTTTGACTGCTGCAAACGGGTAGCTGCAGCTGCTGAGCCCACACACTGCAATGACAGGCTGCCTGCGGCTGCAGCTGTTCTTACCTGTTCACGCAGCCAGTGATTACCTTCAGTTAGGGACAGATGACCATGTCAGCTGGCTGTACACAGTCCAGATGCAGAAATCCACAAATTCCTGCCACTGGAATTTGCAGGGTGTGATAATCGCACCTGTGAATGGACCCTTAGTCCTGCACAGTTGTACAGGCTCCTCTCCTGTACTGAAATGACTTATGCAAATGCACTTTGCCTAACCACACCCACCCCCCTACACCAATACCTGCCCATCAAGGCATTTTGATAAATGCATAATTCCTCCCAAGAGTCTGACAGCTGCTTGTATCCTTGCTGAGGGCCCTTGAGGAGTACCAAGGCAGAGTGCTGTGATGTTTTCTGCACCCTGCCCATCCCTACCATCAACTATGATCTCTCAGCATTTCATGAAGAAGCACAGGGACCTAGTGATGATGTCACTGGGTCTAAAATAAAGTATGTAAAGAAATAAAAATGTAATGAATATTGAAAATGTTTACATGTTTTTATACATTTATAAAAATTATACATTTTGATAACAATCTATAGATGGGGGAGAATCGGATCAGTCAGAGGATTCCCCCCCCCCCCCCCCCCCTTCACAGATCCTGTTACAAGCAGTGTAATTATTGACAGAACTTTTCTTAATGGAGGAAGAAGAAGGAGGGGGTGTGTCCATCAGACCATCTGTACTGCTGTTTTGTTGAAGATCCAAAGCTGTTAACCATTGCCATGTAGTTCAGAGACCTGAAGAGGACGGGGCATCCCTGCAGTGAAGATTCTCCAGGATCCAGCTGAGTGTACAATGTAGGACATACCTCAGGTAAGTGATATGACTAAAGCTGTAGAAATTTGTTATGTTAACTTAGCTTCAGTTTTAACAATACAGTATGTAAATAAAATTGGGAATGGTGAAATCACCAAGAAGTTTTATTTTCATTGTTTGTTGGGAAATCCAACATAAAGTAGGAGGACACTTTTAAACTTGTGTCGGTTTTGAAAAAAGTGAGGCCAAGTATTAGTATGTACATAAAATCTATTGATTTACATAAATTACTTAAGCATCCTTACAGTTTAGTAAATAGGTACACACAGCAAATTTTATCTGATGTAACGCAATACGAATCCAAAGATTTAAAGCCTGTACTGAGAGAAAAATGTGGGCTGCCATTGTTGACTCCCTTTGAAGATGCCAGATTCCTGGCTGTCTCTGGCTTTAAGACTTTAAGACACTGACCCAAAATAAGTATGCTGAAAGTAAAGTCAGCAAGTTAACTTTGAGCTTTTAATCTACTTGCTTTAGTTTTGTGGTTCAAGGAGTCAAAGTCATTAGATCAGGAGACTGGCCAAGCGATTAGCATTTAGCAGCCAGCCAGCATAGGTATCATTAAAAATGAACCCATAAATACAGAAATAGGGTTGCTGCCATTGCTGATTGTTTATAAAGGTGCTTGCTCCAGGGCAGTCATCTTGGTCCTTGCTTTACTACCTAATGAATCACTGACCTGGAGCTAGCAAGCAGCTAGGAAAATCTGAAAAGTCTGAACTACTGTCCTGTCTCAACAGACTGAACAAATTGTCTTGCACATATTCAATCAACTCAACAATGTCTAATTCAGGCCTCATTCACGCTACATGCAATGGCTGGTGTTTTTTCACACTGATGCATGTTCACAAGGGCACATGTTTTCTATGTGCCCTGTTCACACCACAACATGCTGCGTTTTTTTCCACAGTGCAATGGATGGCATGCCACCACACTGCAGAGCAACGCACACTCCAAATAAAGTTAAAAAAAGTAAAGAGTGCAATACACTGAAAACAACATTGCACCACCCAGGGGCAAATTTACTGTGAGGCAAACAAGGCATTTGCCTAGGGCGACATTTTTCAGGGGGCCGAAACTGACACCCCGGAAGAAGGGACGGAAGGAGGGAAACATGTGGCATGGGGACCAGGTGGGTTCCGAAAGAGGCTGCAGGGCATTTGATGGTGTATGCAGGGCCTGATTCTAATTCCCTGGGATGTCCAGGGCTGTGAAGGTAAGTGTCTTTCTCTCTCTCACCGGTGGGGGGAGGGGGGCTGGTGGCAAGTGCATGGGGGGTGGTAAAAGCCTCTCTTGGCGGGAGGGGGGGGGGGTTGGTCGGTGTCAGGCTCTCTCTATAATGCTGCCCACACTCTATAATGGAGCATTTGGTAAGCAGCAGTATGAACGTACTCTTACTGACAGGAACACTGTGTTGTACATTCCCAAACATAGCAGACAATGCCAAAGCCACACTGGCTGCTGAAGATAATTGGTTGGCTCAGGGAAAGGCTGGGCTGGTTAGAATAGGTGTTGACTGTTCGCCCCTACAAATGTACTAATGGTAAAGACTTGCAAATTAGGTGAATATATGGAATGTGGTAACTCTTAACATATAGATAGAGCCATTTGACATGCCAAATCTTTCAGACCTGGTAAGCATCATAAAATGTTACCTAAGCATCTTTTTTTTGTACAAATTTTATTCAAACCTTTCACTACTGGCAGTAACAAGAATAACAACACTTCTATCACTACTGCTTTTACTGCTACTACTAACAACTATAATAAGGGCTTCTATTATTTGTAGAAGATACATCGTAGAATGTTGATCCAAGGAGTTATGCATTTGCCATTGGGGATCAGGAAATAATTTTTTCTCCTTGTTAAAGAAAAGATCACATTTTATAAGGGCTTGTTCACATGGGAGGCGGTAAAAAATGGCATTTGATGCAGTTGCTCAAGGCTGCATGCATGCCGTGTCTTCGATGCTGTGCTTTATAGCCGTGGCAGAAACTGAACCCCATCAGGTTCAACAGGCAGTACCATTGCCACACACAATCTATTCAAGTGAATGGGGCTGCGCCACATCTGTCCTGCAACCGTGTACAGCTGTAGTTCAGTCTTTTCAGGGTTAAAGTACACACTGAGGAGGCAATATGTCGCCTCCCAGCTGCCTGTCTAAACAGGTCCTAGGGGCTTTTTGCCTTCTTTTAGATCAACTGGGGGTTTGGGATTTTTTTTTTATTTAGTTTACCTCAGTAGGTAAGTTTTTTTTATACAACCTTACAAAATATGTAATACTACTCTTTATATAAAAAAAATATAATAGTATGAATATACGTTGTATAATAATAATAATAATTCAAAATAAAAGCAACAGTAATAATATTTAGTAGTAGTAGTATTAATCATCATCATTCCTATTTAATGAATACATTTGTTTAGTCTTTTTACAGATGATTTCATCTGGCAAAATGCTTTATTTCAAGGGTGCCAAATCATTTCTGCCAG